AATTCAGGAGAGGGTAAGAAGAACCCGAGATAGGACTGTTACCCTTCATGACCACAAATATTGATATTTATTTTAAAACTTTGGTTAATTCTCATCTTAATAAATTTCATGTGAAATTCAAAAAACAAACAAAAACCCTGGAGTCATCACAGTCACGGTTAATTAAGTGAAAGGCAATTCACAGAGAAGGAGAAAATACTCATTTCTGAAATTTATTTTATACCAAATACAACCTAACTTGACTTTTAATGACATAAGAGAATTTTAATATAAATGCATTACCAAATAAAGAGAGGTGTGGGAGAATAAACACCAGCTTCAGGTATCACTTAAACTGCTATCAACTAAATATTAGTGAGAAATAAAATGTAACACTTCAAAAACTATGAACAAGTATTAATATTTACAACTGCAGAACTGCATGTAATTTTCAAAGCAGGCTCACACTCCTCCTTGACAGTTATAACTAAAACAGAGAGATGACTTGACCAAATTGACATTCATTGAACATCAAATGACAAGATTGTTCTTCTAGGTGCCGGGCATCGGCTAAGCGATAGAGTGCCGTAACAGAAGTAATCCCTGTTAGCCTCAGATTGTTACTTCAGGATAAATGGCTAAACTGCAAATCACTGTAGCAAATGGCACGAACAATTCCGTGTTTCAAGAACCTTGACATTTTTCATGGCATTTGATACAATAATTCACATCTAGGCATTTATTTTAAAGTAATAATGTGATGCAGACAGTGAACTGTGCATGATGCTACTCACAGCAGAAACATGGACTAAACATAACTACCCAAGGATGGGGCAGTAATTAATGTGTCATGATGCATCCAGAGATAACAGAACAGTAAGCGCATTGGATTTAACCAACTTCCCAATTCAGTAGTATCAGAAAAAAGAAAGAAAACACATGGGATTTTTAATAATTCTTAGACAAGAAAAAAAGAGAGAAATTCCTGTTTAACTCTGAAGCAAACAGCTGTCAGTGAACCCATCCTACCTTCCTGACTCCCAATACCAGCTCCCTCCCATCTTCCACTGTGGCCCCTGGAACCCGTATCTGATTGTAAACAAGGTCTCTACACCCCAAATCTCATCAGTGTCCACCTCTGCCCTGTGGGAGCCTGACCCCTCACTCAGGAGACTGTGCCCCTGCAGCCATCGGGAGTGAAAGCTCCTCATTCTCCCTCTCTTTGAAGCAAATCCCCTCTCCCTGCCGTGAAGCTCAGGGCTAGCAGCAGTATCACTAACCCTCCGTCTGTCTACCCAGCCAACAAACAGAAGTAAGTACTTGGTGCCTGCTATGTGCCAGGCACTGTGTTAAATGCGGGCTACAGACAGCAAGCCCTCAGAGGTTGAAACCTAGAAAGACAAATACAAAACATCTCACAAATAGCTGTCGATTGTGAAAGGAAAGAACAAGAAGGTGCACGAGAACCAGCAGGATTCAGTCAGGCCAAGGCTGAGGGAGAGCACTTTAAGCTGAGAAAACGAGGAAAGAATCAACTCAGTTCCCAAGGAAACCAGGTGCAACTGGGCAAGTGGGTGAGGAGTGGTCTGAGGGTGTGACGAGGTGGGCAGGGCCTTGAGGCCATGAATGCGAGGACCAGACCATGCAGGGCCTTGAGGGTCATGTTCGGACTTTGTCTTTTGTTCTAAATCCAATCAGAAAATATTGGTAGAGTTTTAAAACTTTATTCCTCACAGAGTAGTCTACTCGTCTGCTCACATTTAACCAGAATGCTTGTCCTTCAGCTCGACCCTGATTCCTTCGGCAGCTCGGCTAGCTTCAACACCCAAGGCTTCATCTCAGACTCTAGGACCTCGCCCCTCCTCAAGCAGGCCTCTCTTCAGCTTCTCCTTGAGTCCCAAACTACTCCACCTCTGAAAATCAAATTCCAGCATTTCCTCCTCAGACCACAGCCTCTCATCCAGCCTACTTTCCCATCCTCTACACCCAAAATGCCTGTCCTCCAACCTTTGCATTTTTTCTTTTCTGATTAGGAAAAAAACTGAAATATAATGTCATCAGGATAAGTAAAAAGTTATTACTATTTCCTCCATCCCTATCAAGGCATGTAGGCTTCGCTACACCATCCTCCATGCTCATACCAATGTATGTGAACTTACATACATAAACAGAGACGCCTGCTTTGATTACAAAAAGTGAATGATACCTAACACAAAATTCCGTGACTTTTCTTTACCTAAAAATAAAACTCACGGAACACATCTCAGGCCAGCAGATACAGACTGAATTCATTCTTTAAAGTGCTGCGCGTTATTCCAGGTGGAGCTGCTGCCCACGGTTTCCCACAAGGGACTTCAGTTGTTTGCTGCTACAAACTTGCTGACTCCAGAAAAACTCGAAGCAGACTCTTCAGTGGAGTTAAGTGCTTCCAATCTTGGTGGTTGGAAAAACTCTGATGCTTGTGACTGAGAAAGTCTGGGAGCAGCATGGTTTCCCACAGCACTGCAGCAAAGCGGAGCAGGTTTCAGGCCCATGAGAACCGAAGGCCTCGTGCCTTTCACCACCTAGTCGGCTACTGCCCAGGAAATATGCAAGGCAGGCTGCTGGCAGGTACCGAGGAGACCGCAACCAAGAGCAGGCGGGGCGAATTACGACTCATTTACGGCGCTCGGAAAGAAAGATGGCCAACAGAACAGAAACAGGAGATGCCCACTGAAGTAGAACTAATGGGAGAAACAAGAGAATTTTAATGAAAATGGAATGGAATTACAGTGCAAAAAAAAAAATCACTTTCAGGAACTAAAAGTCATGATTTCTTATTTAGAAATTCCCGTATCCAACTAAAAAGAGAATGACTGCCTTTGAGGACCATATAAATGGTCAGAAAAATCGGGTGGAAGAAATACCTCACTAGGAACCCAGAGGGAGACCCCCCCAAGGGAAAAGGCTAGCTGTGAGGAGGTCAGATCGAGGAGACAAACGAGGAAGAGTGAAGAAACGTGTGGAGAGATAATAATCACATAAACAATGGAAAGAAACTTTTAGAACTTAAGAAAGTTTTCAGGCCCTGAATAGCGAGGAAAAGAGAAAATTCTGCTGGCCTGTGAGCAGTGGGAACAAGGGCTTTCTGGGATGATGGGAAGCTGGAAGCCAACACTGCTTAGGGGCACAGGGGACTGACTCTGGGCCTCCCGGATGCTGAGTTGGGGTCACACGCAATGTCTGTGCTTAATGCTTCACATGAAACTTGAAGCACAGAGATTGTTAAAGTTCTTCCAGGCTCTGGCAAACTTCCTTTGTTATTGTGTGACTAGCCTCTGAATAGCAACCTTAGGGACTTTTTGGTAAGTCTTCCCTTCCACAGTCTATCTAAAACACTGTGGGGGCCAATTTTTAAATGCCATGTGCACAAATTGCATTGATTAAAAATTAAAAATATAAAAAAGAGAAAGTATTTGTAGAGACAGTAAATGCAGGACTGTTAAAAGAAACCATTACCTTTATTTATGAAATACACATGAAGGAGGTCTAGTCACAGTTAAGAGCAGAGACTGTGGGTGCCTGCTGCTGGCTAGCTGTGTGACCGTGAGCAAGTTACTTACCCTTTCTGTCTTCTGGTTTCCCGAGAAGTAAATGTAACGAGTAACACCTACCTCAGACGTAAAGAGTAAATAAATTAATACATGTACCACTGTCAGAACTTCGGCAAAGAGCTCAATAAGTAACAGCAATGGTGCTGCTGGGCTGCGGCCACGGCCACTGCTTGCAACAGGAAAACAGATTGTGCAGAGAACTTCAATTTTAGAGTCAGAAGACTTGAGTTCAAATGCCAACTTTAAAACCTAAAGTGTTTTATACCACAGCCGCAGTAGTTAATTCTCCTGTGGTTATATTTTTTCATATCTGAGACAGGAATATGAATACCTTCCTCTTTTAACGCCCATCCATCTATCTATCCATCCACAAACATCAACTGAGTGTCCATACACCAGGGAGTGTGTAGTGGCTGAAGCAGTGCCATGAATAAGGTACAGTTCTGCCCTTAAAGAGCTCACAGCCTAGTAGGCAATACTCATGAACCTTAATTTTCTTTCACGTTGAATATTTCTTAAGGTTCCCTTTGCCTTAGGAGACAAAGGACCATGAGCCTCAAGTACGCGTTGTAGTGCCACAAGAACTACGATTTAAAAGAAAATAAAGGGGGCAACACTAATGTTGTTACCAACTGTTGGGCAAAAAATGAGGCCAGTTTCTGAAGTTACTGTATTTTACTATTTCAAGAAAAATGCTGTGAAGCAGTTGGGTCACTGGGAATGACCCCTGCAGATGATAGAGCAGTCTTAGGAGTGAGGGGACCGCAGAAAAGCAGGGCCCCATTCCTGGTCAGAGGAGAGGATAAAACACCCTGGAGAGACGGAGCTCTCTTCATAGGCTGGGCAGTGTAGAACATAACTTGCCTCTTCGAACGAGCTTTCCAGACCTGAGTGTCCTTTGAATAAACCGCTCTCAAGCCATTCTCCGAGAGGAATGACTATTACTTGACCCTTTGTCAGCTAACTTCCACCCTCGACACTCAGGGTAGGAGATTACAAAAGACAGTTCTCGGTATCTTGTCTACATCATTCCAATAACAAAGACCTTACCCTAAGGCTTCTTGGAATTGAAAGTGCTTGTTTTGATCATCCCATGTGAGTGGCCATGGGAAGGGGTGGGACAAGTTGCTCCCCTTTAATCTTTTAGTTAACTCAGGGGCTTCAGAATGTCTACACTAATAGTATCAGAGAATTACTATCAGAAGATGAAGAACGAAAGAGCCTACGAATTCACAGGAGAGCCTAAAGGCCTATTCTTTTTAAAGAAACAGCGCGTGCCAACGTGTTTTCATCTGTCACCACCAGTTGACATTTAGTAGCCATGGCTTAAAACTCTGTGTTTAAAACCTCACAGAGGTTATAATGGCATCTTAGCAGATACTTGAAAGAACACTAAGTCTGCTGAGACATCATTATGAAAAAATAACATCCAGGATATTTCCTTTATTATATTAATTTATATATACATATACAGCACCATAATGTGAAACAATTATGCACGTTATTTAAAATCATGTATTGGGCCCACAATTGGCCGAGGTTTATTACAAACTCACTTGAACGGTGGCAACAGTCACAAAGAATGATTCTCACTTCTTTTCCATGTCTGTGTAAAATTTTCTAAAAACCAAAATAAATTAAATACAAATTAACCCAGAGCTAAATGAAAATTACCTAGCAAAAAAGGAGTACTAACATGTACCTTGTTTTAAAGTTTCAGCTAGATAATAAATTATGTTTCAAAAATCTTTACATAAAAGCACTAATACTACCACCCATAAATTATAAAGTGTAACAACAGATAGTATATTTATTTTTTACCTAATTACTTTTTAGACTCACAGTAAAAACCTAGTTTATAGAAAATAAATCAAACAATTCATCCAAACATTGTTACATAAGAAGTTTTAAGAAACTGTAAATAATTCTTAATACTCTCATTTTGATTCTCCGACTTTTCAAGACTATGTTGTATTTCTTTCAAACATACTTCCTGATGTTGTGCTTTCTAAATAAAAAAAGAAATAAAGATAATTAATAATGACACTCACATCAAAGGAAAGTCATGATATAAAATTTATATACACAATAATTGAGCACATGATTTTTAATTTTTTGAAAGAAAGAATCCTAACATCTGATGTGTTCATTATTAACTTATCTTAGAGTTCATTTTTCTTTAAAATCCAGAGTAAATAAAGCACATACATGGTTGATCTCTACTGTGGTAGAGTTTGTTATAATACACATTCACTTAGCCCTAAATTATTCCATATTTAACATGATTAACTTAAATTGGTTTTATTTAAAACTGTCACAATTAATTTCCATTACATTTAACAACATACCTTAATACTAGTTTTTGCTATTTTCTTTGCCTAAAAATTTGTATTTTATACCATAAGAATGACTTTGGGTATCTTAAAAATTGACAGAATTCTAGTTTTAATAATATAAACATTTTATTTTTAGGATCTTTTAAAAAATAAAGAACCCTCAATATCATAGGTGTTCTTTGAGGAAAAAACTTTAAAATCTAATATTTTTAAAAAATATTCAGTTGCATATAAATTCCCAAGTAGATTTGTTCACTGAAAATACTTTAGATAGGCTGCAAAGATCACCCAGCTTCCAACTTAAATGCAGGCATCTTGGGAAGAAAAATCTTTTATCTCCTATTGGGTATTCAGTGACATCTGAGACCTTCTGAAACTGACCGATGCCCCCCAGGGAAGTGTGGTGGTATGAAACACGGTCTAGGCTGAGCTATGTAAAGTCACAGAATGAATACGAATCTTTGAGGAATATTGATTTTACTCAACAACTTGGAGGAAAAAAACGTTAATACAAACACACTTTTACTGTAAAGTAGCATGTAAAATGTACATGGATTTTAGTATAACACATTAGATTCCAAAGACATTTCAGGCTTTTTGGTCCAGGTTAAGCTGCCAAGGGTTACCCTTAAGTCTGTGTACCCACTTCGCCCTCCCACTGGAGGACTTAGGCAGAAAATCTGCAGAGGCCTGCTGTTGTGGGCAGGGCACCATGGAAGACACTAGCACACAATTAACTATGAGTTAAAAAAAAAAGTATTGAAATAAAGGGAAGCCTTGTGCTAAATTAAAAGTGAGAAATGTTTTGTCTTTTTAAAATTTTTTAAAAATTATTATTTTTTAATTTTTGAGGGGTGGAAGTAATTAGGCTTTTATTTGTTTGTTTGTTTGTTTGTTTTTAATGGAGGCACTGGGGATTGAACCCTTGTGCATGCTAGGCATGCACTCTGCTACTGAGCTATACACCCCCTACCCTAGAAATGTTTTGATCTGATTAAACTGTCATGGAACTTTTGATGGTAATAAAATTAAACTAACATTGCATGTCAAGAATTATTTAACTTTTGAACCTTTCAGGTTTTCAACATTTTAGACACTTGGGAATGAAAAAGTAGTTTTAATAGAGTCTGGCTCCTGGAAAAAATAAAAGTATCATTATTTCCTATGTCATTGTTAAGCAGATAGTTTTCAAGTAATTCAGTCACAACTAGTACTAGCTTTCACAGTATGTTATGCCAACTGACTATTTCATGAATAGTTAGGAAAAAACATTAGAAGACTAATTAAGCACTGCCAATTTGGTATCCTCATTTCACAGCTGAGTAGATCCAAGTACCCACTTCATATACAGATATAAAATATTTATTTAACACCAACTTATAATTTTCTAAAATATAAGTCATTATTTAAGACATATCAAAATCCAGCTCATAATAATAGTATCTATCTTAAAAAAAATAAAAATTCATACTAGAAAGAAAATAAGTAAATATCTGTAACTTCCATTAAGCATCTGTCATGCAAAGTAACATGCAGGGACAGGGCCTGACGAGGCTTCGGGGGAAATGGGACAGAAGCTACCAAGGATGCAGGATAGTAATTCTTCAGTACAATACTGACATTTAAATTTTTTATGATTTATATTAGTCTTTATTTTTAATATTATCAGTAAAGCAATAGCCCTGATTCCCCTCACTTTGTACTTTAAACTACACTCCACTGTAAGAATGCTAACTTTTTTTAATGAAAATACATTGTCATACTAATACTTACACTGTTCATTTTGCAAACAAGTTGATTTTGTTCTTCATTTTTCTTTCTAAGCTCAGTTTCCAGATCTAATATTTTAATTTGTAAAGCCCTTTCTCTAGATGACATTTTTTCTATTTCTTCAGAAACCTGTAATTTTAATTAAAAGATAAAATAACTAAATGTGCTTTCTTTAAGGTATGAACTAAAGCCTTGACATAGTTATACTGTATCTCTTCTTTCCAAGTAGATATTATTTAGATATTAGACAATTTAGCTGGAAAGTGTTTAAAGATGTTCTATGTGGAGAAACACAGATAGCAGAAGCACGTATACTCCTCTTTGCTGAATAAGTATCTGAAAAATCAGCTCGGGTGGAAGAGCGTATGGATTTGCACTGCTCTGTGACTTAGGCAGGTTCTCCCCAGTACTGCATTTCTGTAACCTACTGAGACCAATGGCCACGTTTTACAGTATTTATAGTCACCACAGCGTCTAGAGTGGTGGTGGAGCATAGGAAGTTCACGATCAATGCTGATTACAGACTAACATGGATAGAATTAGGGACAGGGCAGGTGGTACTTATACTCCACAGACAGACAGACAGACACAAAAAAGAGATTGGTTTTTTCATTCATTCACTCCCAAAGTGGTCTGAATTTGAGTTTTCGTATCTCTCTGATGGCTTACTTTAGCAGGAAGTCTAGCTTAGCTGTGTTTCTCCAGGGATTCAGGTGTGCGAGAGCCTATCTGCAGGATCCTGGGTTGAAAGCACAGGAATGGGAAGTGGAGGCAGGGACTAGCTCAGGAGCAAGGAGCTAACAGGAAGGACCATCCTCTAACCTAACTCCGGTGCACTGAGGTTTACGTTATTATCAAGTTATTTACAAAGATCTCTTGTGCACAAATGCCAAGTGAGGAATGCTAGCAGGATCTGAAGCTGTGGCAGAAGAGCCCTCAGGACAAGTGTGCCTTTCAGTGTCCCTCAGTGTGGACAAGGACGGTGCAGTGATGCACTCCTCACGTGGCAGGAACTAGGGACAGCCTGTGTCCCTTCCTCTGCAGCAGGAAAGAAAGGAGAGGGCAGACACATCGCTGGGGGCTCTAAGCACTTCTATGAAGAAATCTGGGAGGATCTAGCACTTTCAAAGTCCATTTAGGTTGAACCCAGGATAAAGTCACTTCTTTTCCTCCTACAAGTTGGGGCTGAGAAATCTGAGCTACATTTCTACCACTGGCAGTAAGTTTTACTACTCAGCTTTCATTCAAATGTGTGTCTTTCAGAATCAATTTAAATTGTTTTCCCAGAGTTAAAAAAAATAACCATATATCTATATGACACATGATTTAAAAGCCATATTTCAAGGATACCAGATTTGACTCTGACTTGTGGAAGTACCTTTAATAGGCTTGGGAAAGACCATGGGTGGAGGAGAGTTTAGAGGGAAAGATCCAGAATTTGGTGTTGGATGTGTTAAGTTTGCGATCCTGTAATTAAGTGGGGGTGTCAAGTAAGTAGCAGAATGTGTGAATCTAGATTTCAGGGGAGAGAACAGTTTTGGGTAGAGTATACACCAGAGAGTCATCAGGGTATATAGAAGGTCTCTTTTTAGCATCATTCAGTCCTATGAGGAAACTCTTCACCCCCATGTTACGAATTAAGAAACTGAAGTTTACAGAAGTAGCTTGCCCTGGGTCAGGGTACAATGTGTCAGAGCCAGAATTCAAATCCACTTCTTGTGGATTCCAAAGCCCACCTTGTGTCCTTAGAAGACTACATTTTCAAAGCATTTGATAAGTTTCTCTCTTTACCGAGATCTTCTTAAATGATTTCCCCTCATGTCCAGATTGAACTAACCACACCCCCAATGTACCTTGTACCTTCTCTGCATCGTCTCATTTCCTGCATTTAATTCTTACATGTATTTACTTATACAACATTTGCCAAAAAAACCAGGGAGTTGAACTTTACAGCTTACCAGATCCTGATCAAAATGTTCAATAATTTACATGTTTTTTTCTTTAAAAAAAATCAAAAAATAAACAAAACAAAACAAAACAAAAAAAAACGGAGGTGGACTCCTTTGAAGTGTTTTCCACGTCTGCCGTTTACCTGCCACATCATCATTTACCTAGTGAAGTAACTCTGGACCAGTAATGTATCTTTTTAGCTCCAAGAGGGACAAGTAGGTAAAAAACAAAAATGTAATTGCTCCCTTCACCCTGTCATCAGGATAAAAACAATAACCATAGGTTTGGCAAGATGAGATATTGTCTGTTTAAAAAGATGACTCTTTGGTAAACTAATTAAAAAGTTTCTAAATAAAGGCCATCTGTACCTTTTGTCTTCCTTCTTCTAAAGCAGCTTCCAGCTGTCTGGCCAATGCTGTATATTCTGCAGATTTCTCTTTAAACTTAAGATTGCTGTGCTTAAGATACTCTTCTTGGTTTGCTAGCTTCTTTTCAAGCTCTTTATTTTCTGCATCCATCTGTTCTAATTTTCTTTTTACAGAAGACATATATTTTAAATTATAGTATGTAGGGAATAAATGTTAACACCAATTTTAAGTCAATTTAATACTTACTCTTGTAGGTTTTCACACTTCAACTGAATAAGATAATTTTCCTCTTCCAGAGAAAGCTTTGTCAGAAGATTATGATTTCCATCAACCTAAAAGAAAAAAGTTTTCTTGGTTACTTTCTTTATAATCAACTTCCAAAGAAATCAATATATTTAACGTTAGAACAATTATAAAAAAAAGCAGGTATAAATATTATTATTACTCCTATACAGAGAGACACCAAGAAATATTACATCATTAAAACACAAGTTCTTAAATTCCTGATTAAGTTTAAAAAACTGTATTGCCTCGAAATATGTTTAGTCGAAAATCATTGACTAAAAGTTTGACTGAAAGGTGGTAATTAAAACATCCTGAATAATGTTTTACTGAAAAAGAAGACTTTTTAAAGTAAATGTGAAGATTTTAAACAGTAATCTCCTGTTGTTTAATACTTAGCGTTACTCTTATAGTTTTTTATTTCACCTGCAGATAGTCTGATAACTGAATATCAGAGAAGTTTTAACTATGAGTAAAAACCATGTTCATGAGAAGCAGAATAAAATCAGCAAACATTTGCCCATGCTAAGACAGAATATTCTTCCCATTGCTTCAAAAGCTGTATTTAAATAGTTTAAGAAGTTTTGGGGAAAACAAAGAATTTTTCTCATAATTTCAATTTAGTAATTTGGGTTATCTATGGGATTTAACATTTTCCTAGAAAAATCTCTTCTCAGGAACTTAAATTCAGCAAAGTTTTATTTGCATGTTTTAAAAAACAGAATGCATTTCAATATTGAAATCCAGATTATATTTGGAAGATAGGGAATCCTTCCTAAAATTATTTTGCAGATAAAGAAAAAGACTTGCTACCATCCTTCGACATGCTTCTTTGAAAAACAAAAGTGATTAATTAAAAAATTATTAAGTGCTTAGTATGTGTTAGGCATTAAATTAAGAGATGGCTATATGGCGACTAACAGGGCACCCATGATCCCTTTTCTGATAGAGTAAAAAAGTATATGTTGAAAAAAAATTGAGAATAATCCAGATAAAGTTGATGCATAATTCTAAGTAAAATAAATTCTAATTGTGTAAGATAAATTACCATAATTTACCTTATCCTAACAACAAAAATTATACATGTAAACACAGCTTTACTCCTTTGTTCATGCTATTACTATGTCCTCAAATGTCTAAATACAGCCTTGTAAAAACAAACTAAATCATCAATTTCAGTTACCAGTTTTTCACTATACAATACTAAAAGAAGAGCAAGAATAGCTTGCAAAATAATATTGCAGTATTTGCATGAAACGGTATTTTACCAACTTATTTAGATGAGAGTAAAATTATCAACCCCAGACATGAGTGCCCTCAACTGGTGAAATTATTCCAAAGCATTTAACACATCTGGCAAAACTAAGAGTGACGGCGGGACACCTGGCCCTGAAGCTCCCTAACGGTGTGTGCCTGGTCTGCACACTTCCCCTTGCAGTGCTGCAGGCTCTCCTGACACTCGTGAAGCCTCTGTTCCACCGCCGTCAAGGAATCACGGACGTGCTCTAACTCCTTCAGATGAGACTCCATCTGGCCTCTCATCTGAGTGTAGCATTAGGGAAATAAGTGCAAGATCACACATTTAGCATTAATGTTCTACTATCTTAAATACTAGATATGCTTGCAATATAATAAGTATTTTCAGGTATAATAGTTTTAAACAAAAAGATTCAACCAAATAAATATAAATTAACTTTAAGTTAGACTCTGCTAAATAAAAACATATAATTCAAAAGTGGGCTGGATTTTAATTGGTTTCCAAAAAGTCTGTTGAGTAAATGAAATATGGTAATATTAGCTTGCAGGGAGAAGGTCTAAACTACTTAGGAAAGCAAACTTTTTTGAATCCTGTCATTTCTATTCAAGCATGGATATTACTAATAAAACTGGCATGGTGGTTTTCTACTGTCCAGCCGTCAGTCTAAAGCAACTGTCACTTTTTCTCATTCAATCTTGTAACTCAGATATTTCAATTAGAGCAGCTTTGCTGCACCCATCTTAGTCCAAATCAGTAGAGTTTACTGTATGTAATTTCAAGAAAGCTAATACCATCAGTCCTCATTAGACTATAATTTGATCATCAATGTTGCTATGAACAAATCTAATTGTTTCCATATTAATCTCTTTGGCTGCTGTGGCACTTTTGTGGAGATGTGACAAGAAGCAACCCTAAGAAATGTTTGTACTGCTAATTAAGAAAAAATGATAAGACACAGGGTATTTAGGATGTTCACTGGGAGGAAAAACAAGAGTGAGACTCTTTCCCTGACCCAGGGAACACCTGGAGCTGCTGTGCAACATCTAGCACCCTTGAAGGTAAGACGAGAACAAAGCCTACCTCTTGGTCCCCAAACATCTAAGAGCCCATGAGAAAACCAGGGGACTTGAAACAGTGAAAAAGAAAAAGGAAGCATTTCATTTAAAAAAATGACTGTCTACTTTAATACCAGTAAGAAAACATTGTGACCTCACAGTATCTAAAACCCACAGGCTCCTGCCCCACTGGCCTCTCAGACAGGTTTTTTAATAGGCTTTTATTTACAGTGCTGCCTACGAAGGAGGAAACACTTGCATCGGTGCGTCTCATGAGAAAAAGAGATCAAGAGATGTGAAATGATCTCTTCTCTGGGCTGCTAAAACTAGGCGAAAAGTAATTCTGAGCAGTAAGTTGCACATTTGATGGGCTATCTTGATCTCTGTTTAACCAGCAGAATGTCTGCTCTGGCTGACCTCGTCTTCACATTGGTAAGACTTACTCAGATTTCTCAGTTCCAAGACGTGGGGGCAACCCAGAGACAGTCACCTTATTACACTCAGTTGAAACTGACCAGCAACATCCCACGACCTCTGCAGCTGGGAGGCAGCGTTCTATGACTTTCATTGCTTCCTTACCAAAACAACTTTGAAAAGACCCAGAAAGGGATGCGGTTTCATTTAAAAACTTAAAAATATTCACAAAAACATCATAACTTGCCAACATTGACCTTCCCCTCATTTTTTTGCAATAAGATGAAAAGAAGGGAAAGATACTGGTTTTTTTTAATGATGTTATTTTTCTTCCAAAAAAGCATTTTGTGGAGAATATTTACTTTGCTCTTTTACACAAAAGATTTAATACCAGAAGAAAAAAAAGAGAGATTGAAAATGAGAGGTATTCAAGTTTGCATGAAGCTCACTGACAAATAACCATTTTTGTGCTATTTAGGTCTGCTCTTGCATGAGAAAAATTAAACATTTATGCTATTTTCCAAATATTTTGGAAAAAGTTAAAAAACATTCATACAAACAAACATTTCAAGCCTGGAAGAAACATTATTTCCTCAAAAAACAAACTGCCACAGAAATCCAGGACAGATAATTCTAGGTCTAAACTACAGAAAATGACCAAAAAGATGTATATAAAATTTATAAAGCACAAAACATATAATTAAAATATTATTTTATTATTTAAATTGTCAAACTTACCTTCTTTAATTTTTTATTTTTGTTTTTTGTTATTAGGTTATTTTCTTGTAGCAAATTTTCACATCTGCTTTTCACCATTTCAGCTGCTTCTTGCAACTTTTGTATCTGAAAATAAAAAACATTATTAGAGTAACATGAATTATTTTATTATTAGGACCATTATATTAAATAAAAGCAAACAATCTACATTTAAATTTTAAAATTTCAATTTTAAACAAATCCTTATTTCCCTATTAATACTCTATGTTTATCTAACGTTATTCCTTCTTTAAATATGGGAATCACTCAGTGATCTAATCCACAATCCTTTTATGATTGACCTGTCTTCTCCCATCAATACTTCTAGAATCTTGAGCTCTGAATATCAGTGAGAGAGATTCATTTGCTGGTCAATATCACTCTAAAGAATCAGTCCCTGGTCCAAACTAGCTCCTAAACCAGTTATTTTACTCTCCAAGTCAAAATCTGCTCAAAAAATATCTGAGGACTTTATACAAGGCCCAGAGCCAAGAATATGGTAACTGATTCACAGTATTCTTGCTGAGAGATTAAACTGGAACAATCGGCTGGGAGACCCAGATGACATTCTCAGTAACATGTCCCACAGTCCATCACAGCCTCCATTCTTACCTCCAGCCAGGATGCCAGCAATATCCTAACTGGATGTCTCAACTCCGTTTTCCCATTAGAAAACCAGTTTAGAAACCACTGGGATGGAGCCCTTCCTGCTTACCTACAGTATGCCCCCCTTAAGCTTTAAACTTCAGTTCATTATTCTTCAATTCAAACACTGTCTTCTGAGAAAATCAAGTTCTTTATTGACCAGTTTGTTACCTATCATTCAAGGACCCAAGTAAGTCCCATCTTTCAAATTAAGTTTTTCTTAAATACTACATTTCCAAAACATAAGCTTTTCTATAAATTACCATTGAACACATGCTTTCTTTCATATATATCGTTATAAGTTCTTTCCCAGGTCTTTCATGTGAGTAAATCTGATTATACTTTACTTAGTTGCAAAGAGGAAATATTAGGCTTTAATGATCCTTGAAGGGAGTCATTATTCTAAATCAATACCATTAAAAATGTAAGAAAACAAACGTAACCAAGATTAGCAAGATTATACATAAGGTTCACAATTATACCTATGTTATTAATTTCAGATTTACTCGTAGGAGTATCCAATACAAACACAGGTAATGTTTAAATCAGGAATCAGCAAAATCATCATTTTATAAAACTATTTGGGACCTTAAGAAATATTGGGGATATATTGTATCTATATATTCTATCACAAATAATAACTCGACATTTCTACAGTTCTGCTTATTTAGATCGTAAACAAATGCAGTGTTTTAAATTATCTACCAAATTTAACAAACATTAAACTATATGCAACGGTCACCTGAGTTTTATAAACTTCAATAAGGGTTTTCTGTTGTTTTTCTACTTCTTGTAATTCTAAGAGTTCATTTTCAACAGAAACAACCTCGTCCTTCAAAGCAGCAAGTGCAGTCTATTAAGGAATATATAAAAAGATTTTTATAAATTAGAATTCACTTATACTTCAGTGCTATAGTATTATAAAAATGAATAGTTAATCAACAAAAGTAATAAAATAACTATTTCTGACTGCAAATAATTACCATCTAAAACTTAGGAATTTCAAAAAGCGAGTAATATTTATGAGCAACCTTAAAAAGACTTACTTAAGACATACATATTTAAACTTTAGAACTTTATTGCCGAAAAAGACTTGGAAAATAGAAAGACTATGTTTCTGGAAGGGAGTACTCAATACTACTGACATACCAGTTTTTTTCCAAATCAATAACACTTTACCACAATTACAACCAAGAGTGTAACAGTTGAGGGAATGAGGAATATGACAAAATTAATTTAAAGTTCATATGAAAAAATAGAGGCTAACAAAATTTTTAAAGGAGTTCTAAATAGAGAATCTCAGTACTTACTAGATATTAAAATGTATAAATAACTAAAATCATTAAGGTACTGAGAGAGTAGTATGTAAGTCTATGGAATAAAAAAAGAAAAATACACTAAAATTATGTTTAGTACATGACAAAGGCTGGATTTTTAAATAAAATAGGGAAAATATGGATCACTATATAATGGTAATAAGGTAACTATTAGGACAAAACAGATTATGAAAACACAATTTTTATATTAATTATAAATTTATTTAAATATACTAAATATGAAACATAAAGCTTTACATTTTTTTCACAGATGATCCAGGTAAAATTTTATTTGATTTTAGGATAGCAAAAACCCAACTAAGTATAAAATCAAAAGAAAATATCAAGACCTGTAAGGGTCTGAAATTTTACCCTCCAAGTTTACGAGACAGCCTAGCACAGTTTCATGGATACTAGCAGAAGACACAAGACTCCTGGCTCAGAGCCTTAATCACTTTATTACAGCAATAGCAGTACCCAGATATCAGCATTTGTGTTAGTTTTCTAAGCCCCACTTCCCACAGGGCAATACAAAGAGGGCCAGATGACACCTGTACACGAGTGGGATGTATGGAGGAGCAACCCTGAGGCTAGGGAACCCAAATCTCTTATAACAGGAAGAAGCATGCCTTTCGGTAGATGGAAACGTTGTTATCTTTCAAGGATGTTCACTACACAAACATCCTTGAAAAGATAGTCTGGATCTGGATCACAGGCGGTCAGTACCTGGGCTTGCAAGATGTTCAGAAATGGGAGAGACTCACAAAAGCAGCCATAAGGAAAAAAATACACACACACACACACACACACACACACACACAAATACATACACATATATATGTATACATATATCACCAAAATTTCATAGCCCCTTGAAAAATTTAAAAGGCAAACAAAATGCAAAAAAAGTAAAAAATTATGACAAAAGATTAATATGCTTAATCCATAAAGAGTTCTTACATAATAATTAGGAAAAAAGACATATAAAGGGCATAGGTTATTCAAAAAGGCAGAAACATAAATGATCAATACGTGAAAAAAATATGTTCACTAGTCATTAAAAAATGCTCTAGGCACTGTATATTCTTCTAGCAGTGAATGAAAGAGACAAAATTCCCTTCTGTCATGAGCTTACTGTACCCCATGTATAGATGTGTAGAAACAAGGAGTAGATAGATGAAAAATAAGAATAAGAAGTAAAATATATCATACATGAAAGCAGGGTAGGAAGGACAAGTTGGGAATGGGCCAGGGAGGCCCCTGTGAAAGGGACTTCTGAGTAGACACCAAAAGGAAGTGTGGCTCTCTGAGGTAAGAGGAGTCTCAAAGAGAAAAGCAAGGGTAGGAGAAAGCCTGGCCACTCAGGGAAAAACAGCAAGAAAGCCAATGTGGCGGGAAGCAAGAAAACAGAGAGGAGCATGGAAAGACACGAGGTCAGAGACATAATGGAAAGCCAGACGGTGTAATGCCTTGTAGATGTCTACTCTATGAAACAAGATATCATTGAAGGGTTTTGAGCTGAGCAGTGACATGGTCTGATTTATATTTTTATAGGAACTATGCTATGGCTACACTGAATGCTGACCGCAGGGAAAAGGGCAGAAGCAAAAAGAATTAGGATGTCACTCTAACAACGAAAGATGATGGCGGCTTGAACCAGAATAACGGCAGTGATGCTGGTGAGAAGTGATCAAATTCTGGATATATTAGAAGTAGATCTGCTGACAAACTAGAAGCAGGTGTGAGAGAAAGGAGTCAAGTAACAGAAAGGATGATTGCCATTAGCTGAGAAACTGAAAACTGTAGCATGCAGCACACTGGGGAGTACAGGAGCTCTGTTTTGGGACTTCAGGAGCCAAGGTCTAGGTTAGAGAGAGAGATTTGAGAGGACCCATAATACAGATGGCATTTAAAGCCCCAACACTAGATAAGATCACCTATAACATTTGGAGATATTTGGAGTACTGGAAAAAGTACAGGGATCCATTTATGATGGGTGATTGGAAATACATAACACTAACATTAAGAATGGGAATGTGACGATGAACATATGTATGTTCACGTGTAACTGAAAAACTGTGCTCTACACTGGAAATTGACACAACATTGTAAACTGACTATAACTCAATAAAATAAAATTAAAAAACAAAACAAAACAAAGAATGAACACCCTTTTGAGCATGTAATTCCACCTCTAGAAATTTATCCTAAGAAACAGACATAAAAAGACTCAAATTATCCACATTTTTACTTACAATAGCAAAAAAACTGGAAGTGGTCCCTAAAAGTTACATATATGCTAAAAGAATAACCCTACTTATCTTTTGGTTGTGAGATTATAGGTGATTTTTAAAATTTTTCCTTTTGTGCTTTTCTGTTTTTTACATTTTCTATAATCACCAAATAGAACTTTATAACCCTCAAGATAACTTTCATTGTTTTTATTAGAGGAGGTCACTGGTCCTTGGAAACAGTATTAGCTAGCATCTTCTTCATTTGAAACTAAAATCTAAAATTATTCTAAAGTAATTGAAAATAACAATATACAACATCTAGGCAATTTTACATTGTAAATAACATATGCCAAATATACTTAGATATTTTTCCTTAAAATCCAGAGAACAATGCATGTAAAATATGTTTCAGAATTATGAATTATAATAATATATAAACTTCAACTCAATTTATACTTGTGTAATTTAAAATTAATTTCATTACCATGTAATTAAAAACTAGATTTATAATTAATGAAATATCCTTCTTACCCCTCTCTCTGAAGGATACCAAGGAAATTAAGAAAATAAAAATACACAAAATTGCTTCCTCTTCGTGGATAAAACATTTAAGAAATTCATTCAATAAATATTCATAGACAGCGAAGTATATGTCACACCTCCCCAGGGCATCCTGGGTGAACAGAGATGGGCGTTTATGAGGAAAACTCATCCCAACTGAGAAGACTTCGAGGGGAAGCAGCATTTGAACTGAACTTTAAAGGAAAGGTAGGATTTATATACTGAGAAAAATAGCATCTCAAACTGTACAAAGAGTAAAAATATAGGAATAGACAGAGGAAAACATAAACATACTACTGCAGGAAACAATGAGTACTCTTATTTGGCTAGAGCTCAGGATGACTGCAAGACAGCATCCTATGCCTGAGAAAGGAGAAGCGCTGAGTGGTATGGCGCTTTCAGGAAGTCTCCCCAGAAAGGAGGGATGGGGAAAAGGGACACAATTCATCTTTTGATTCCCTCCAACCTGCTGTCTGAAACTTAGCTATAATGGATGGAGCCCCAGCAGCCATTCTGAATCATGAAGATGAGGGTCACAACCTAGGAATGGCAGAGTAGAGAGCTAACAAGTAGCTAGGTTCTCTGACGCCGTACCGGCTCTGAACTGCCAATTCTGGCCTTCTTTTCCATCAACAGATTCTTTTCTGTCCTCTATTTACTGTCCTCCAAATTATCGTCCTCCAAAAACAGTATTATGGAAGTGAAAATGATGCCAAAGTCTTTAGTCAAGTCTCATCAGGTTACATGTTTCTATGATTGGTAACTCAAATATCCTTTTTCTCAGAAAGTATAAAAACTTCTTCCCCATCTTTTCTCGGCTACACATAAAAACCAATCACCCCTGGGATTTGATTAAGTTGGAAAATTCTTTCTGGTTATGAAGCGGCCAAGAACATACTTTCTGGTTTCAAACAGACCAGGCCTGAGGTTATATCCTATCGTAACCATGACACCTAGAAATAATCTTATGTATTAAAGTTAATGTAATTTTGGATGATTCATCTAACTGCTAAAATTGGCAAATAAATAAATTTTTTTAGGTTGAGACAAACAGAGTTACTCAACTTTACAAATCTTATTTAGTGCTGCTGAAAACAATTTTTACATGTATGTGTAAATAACTATAAACATTAAAAAATCTATATCTAAGTATCTGTGTATGTATGGTATGTACAGATAGATAGTTTAAGAAGTGACTTGTTATCATGACACTAATTATTCTCTAACACCCTGAGAGACATAAGGGACAAAATGATGCAAGAGCACTGAGCCAAACATGCTGTTATTTGAAGCTACTTCTACCAAGTAAACTAAGCTGTCATTACACACATACACACACACACACACACACAAACACATAGTACCTTTAATTTTGTGTTCTCAAGATTCAGAGATTCATTTTCACATTCAATTGTGTGAAGTTTTCTAAGAATTTCTTCACATGAATTTTTTCCATGGTCTTCCATTTTCTTCAGGTCTTCCAAAAGGTTAATGATTTGCCTTTATAAAATATTTTACAAAAGTCACAGAAATTTTCAAGCAATATATTTTAAGAGTGTTTCTGAAATTATTTTGGTAGGGTACACTGTTTCAAAAGTTAGTAGAACTCATACAACCAAGGAAATAGGAAGCGGTAACCTGTATGATTACTACTACCTGAGCAACTTTGATTAGAAATAATTAACCATTTATGATGCCAGTGAGAAATTATACAACATTCTCTTTGCTAGTCATTGAAACACCTAAACTACCACCCACAGGTAGGTCTGTCTGTCATTTACACATGTGCACACACATATGCACAATTTCAGGGACAAGGTTAAATAAAGGATCAAGTGATGTAATAAATAATCTTTAAAAGCAAAGTATATGCATTAGGTTTCAATGATAAAATTGAAGAAAATATACAGAAAATGAAGCATTCAAAAGCAAATATTCAGAGCTCATTATTGTTGGGGCTTATGAATAAATTTCAAATCATAAAATATCCATATTTTTACTCATTGATTTTCTTTGTTATACAATAAGACACTTTAAGGAACAATACTTTTAGAAATTTGGAAGCATTTATGTTTTTATTATAAACTTTGTTATATATATCTACTTAAATATTATTTTTAGTAGAGAAATATCACTTTCATTTCAAGACAAGGTCAATGTTAACATTTATTGCAAACAATAGATGACACATACTCAAACACCAAATACTAACCTACAAGTTCAAAATTTCAAAATGTGAACACCAATGCACTTTTAGTGGGTAATCGTTTTCATTGTATTTTTAGAGTAGAGTAACGAAAGCTTATAGAATTATAAGTAGCAAAAATATCAAATCATACAGACAACAGCTTTATCACATGTAATCCAAAAAAAACAAAATACAAACCACTCAAAGAGGAAAGAACTGAAAATACTTATTAAACATTAAAAAACTCTAAATTTCTTTCTTACTTTTTCATTGTTTCGATCTGAACTTCCAATTCATTTTTTTCTATTACAATTTTGTCATGATGACTTTTCCAGGCATTGGAAGCTGAAATTGTCTCAGACAACTTGGCTTCCTAAAAAACACATAAAGTACTCATCTTGTAATTTAATAACACTTAGGTTTTGTTCAGGGCCCTAAACACAAATACATTATAAACAAGGAAACACCCATCCTACAAACTTTGGAACTTTCGTTACAGAGAATTTCAGTGTACAGCTCTGAACACAGGAAAATTTTAAAGTAACCTTTAATAATGACTTGATATTACTATTATTTCATAGGCACATAGTGGCAGTTCTAACTTAACATTTTAAGGATATTGATGGAACTATTATCAAATAACGTTTCGTAATTACTGAAGATAATTCCCTTTACATTTATTAAACTTTTCATTTGGCATTCTATCTACAGTAGATGCTGACAACCACGTAAGCATCAGAGAAAGACGCCCTCTATGGTATACACAGGAACTGCCTGCAATTCCCCAATTCCCCAACATTCAATGATGCAGCCTATTTATCTTGGTTATAATGATGCCAAGCTGTTTTTTTTAAATTGAGGTATAGTTTGATGTACCATATTACATAAGTTTCAGGTGTACAACATAGTGATTAACAATTTTTAAAGGTTATATTCCATTTACAGTTATTATAAAATATTAGTTATATCCCCTCTGTTGTACAATATATTCTTGTAGCTTATTTATTTTATACATAGTAGTTTGTACCTCTTAATTCCCTGTCTTTATCTTGCCCCTCCCCCCTTTTCTCCCCACTAGTAACCAGTAGTTTGTTCTCCATATCTGTGAATCTGTTTCTTTTTTATTATATTCACCAGTTTATTTTTTAGATTCCATATATCAATGATATCATACAGTATTTGTCTTTATGTGACTTATTTCACTTAGCATAATACTTTATTTAACTTAGCATAAAACACTTAGCATAAAGTCCATCCATGTTGTTGCAAATGGCAAAATGTCATTCTTTTTTATGCCTCAGTAATATTCGTGTGTGTGTGTGTATCACAACTTCTTTATCCATTTATCTGCTGATGGACACTTAGGTTGCTTCCGTATCTTGGCAATTTAAATAATGCTGCTATGAACATTAGGGTGCATGTATCTTTTTGAATTAGTCTTCCCACTTTGGGGGGATAAATACCCAGGAGAGTAACTGCTGGGTCATATGGTAGTTCTATGCCAAGCTGTTTTGTGGAGATCACCCATTGGCCTTCAAACACTAGAACTGTCAGCAAAGAAATGAAAGTGGTAGTGGTGGGTTATCCACGTTGAACGTGAGCTCCCAGAGATGGATTGTTTTGTTCATTGCTTAGAGTCTTGAGTTGTGCCTGGCATACAGCAGACTCTCGGTAAGTAACTGTCAAATGAATCTACTGTCTACAAATCCACCTTGAGAGCTACAGCCACTGTACCCACTTCTATAATCTACAGAAAAACAAACACACTAGAGTGACAGAAGTGCCAATAATTACTAATCAGAAGACCCAGAAGTAACAATGTTAACAGTCAACATTTACTGTTTCCTTCTTTCCTTCCATCACTCATCCACACACTGAAAAAGTATTTATTCAGCATCTACTATGTGCGAGACATTTTTTGTTTACATTTTACCAGTAATGGTTTTGATATGTTGAAGAAAGACTGTTTGTTTTCATATTTTATGTAAAATAAATATTAATATGCACTATGAAGTGTACACAGGACAATTAGAATATAAATTAAGATATTCAGAAATTTTACTTATGAAATAAATGCTAAAAAGAAAATTTAAGACACTGATGTGATTAACTGTTGTGGGACTTTTTTCAAAAGGAGTAGTAAAATAAGGCCCCTCTGAAGAAATGCCAGTTAAAAAGATACCAGAATGATGTTCAAAAGAACCAGCTATTATTGAGCCTGAGAAGAACACTGCAGCCAGAGGCAACAGCACGGAACAATGAAGCAAACACACTCCAAGCATTAGTTGAACCACAAGGAGGCCAGTATGGCAAAAACGCAGTCTGGCCAGGCACTGTGCTCTGGCATGTATGTTCTCATTTATTCCCCCTCACAATCATACGAGATAGGCAGTACTACTAGCCCCTATTTTATAGATAAGGAAACTGAAGCTTAGAGGAGGTATGTACCTTACCCAAAGGCACAAGTGGAGGAACCTTCCTATATTATGATTTGGGGCATGAGTGATACGATGCTAGTTAAATAGGAAACTTCCAAGTGTGTTAACGATTCAGTTAGCTTTTGCCAGTCAAGAATATTTTTAGGCATTCAAGTAGGCCTACAACCTTCTAGATTTTGAACTTAGTCCCCTAGTTTTTATCTAATTAAGTTCTTCTGAATGTAGGTTAAATATTAGAGTCTTAAAATGTTAAGAGTTAAACTCATAAAATACTGAGTTGTTTTATTTATACAAGCATTTATGCAAGTCTGTCTGCATTTCTAAAAGCCTCTAATAATTCTATAAGCCACAGCATAAGTTCTTAAGAGGCAAGATACCAGTAAGATACTTAAGAGAGTAAATGTTTTATTAACTGGTAATTGAATAAATATAATTCATTAAAAACAACAAAGCACTAAATACATTTCAACTTTGTAATACACCCAAAGATCACTTTCACATGGTGGGTTTACGTCAGCAAATGGTTTTAAATGCATTACAGAGTTTAAGTGAAGTGAATTACTGAATAAAGTCATATGGTCTAATAACATAAATCAGCATTTCCCAAACTGGTATTCTTCAGAACCAGTTCCAAGAGTTGCTTTGTGGCTAAAAGAAGAGTTCAGTGCTTAAATAAGTGGTAGGGAACTCTGAATTCAATACTCTCTCTCCATGACACTGCTTTAGTTTTACTGAAGGCCTTCTCAGAGCCTTTAATAGTAAGTTAATGTGCCTTTAATTTAATGTTAATGTGCACTGTCAATTTCCAAGGGTGAATATGCATGAAGTGTTACCCTTACTTGGCCATAGATGCTTTGGGACACACTTAACATACTCTTCTAATAAAGTCCCAAGGAAATGCTGATATAATTCAATATGCCAATTTGACATTTTATGTAATCTTTCAAAATAAAGTCTAAAGCAAAAGAGTACGAGTAAAGTTTTTCTAGTATCAGCATTAAGAGAAGAACAACATTATTATATTAAGCACTATGAGGTTAATTAACTACATAAACTAAGTACATAAAACAATTCTTTAAGGAAGAATGCATATACTTACCTGCTCTCTAATTTGGGAAGTAAGGTTTCCCATGTCTCCAGTAAAATGTTCAATCCTTTGTTTGTAAATTTTAGATGCCTTTTTTAAAGCTATAGCTTTTTGCCTACTTGATTCTTTTATTGCTACAGCCTCATGCTTACTCTTTCTCAATTGCAAGTTCCATTCTGATATCTTGGTTTCTAAGCTCTAAAAAAATATTAGCGATAATTAAATTACTTCAGAAATTCAATGTTTACATAAACATTGTAAAAATACGTAAGTAATCTTCCACATAGAATTCATCAAAAAGAGTAGTCATACGAGTAATAGAAAGCAAAACAGGAAAGAAAGGTGATTTCACTAATGTTTATTTGTAACCAGTTATAAAACACAAATTTAAAATATGTAAGCCTATATAAAACTAATATTCCCCTTCTATAAATATTAATATTGGTGAAAAAAAACTAACTTCCTTAAAACTTTTTTGATTAACTAAAATTTTTAAAAATTTCACACCTAGCATATTACACATAGTAGTTACTGCAAATCAAAAAAATTGAGCTGGAGACAATTCAACCAATAGGTACACAAAGCTCAAAGGAATCAGCAGCTTCCCAAATATATTAGAATTCTTTAGCTGGAATGAAAAATATGTAAAGGATATACGATCAAAATCTGCATATCATGAAGAGTAAGGATGAGATCAACACATTCACCAAATTGTAATTTACCAGAATTAAGGGGCATGCCCTGGCATCTGAGTAAGTTACATCGAGTTTAATAAAAGTACTGCTTTGCCCAATGAGTAGTAAGTTTGTGAAAGTTGTTATTCCAAGACCAAACAGGTTCAGATCCATAAGAGTTAGTGAGGGTAAAAATGTGTTTGAGGGCACGTTTCCATCGAGTTTGACAGTGTTAACGGATATGCCTGTTTCCTTACCTAACTTTTAGTGATAGAACTAGACCCAGAATATTAGGTTAGGCAGATGATGGCTATGATTTAGTGTGATAACTCTCATGTTTTCATTTCAAATTGTTTTAAGACTTTGTATTTAAAAGTATTTGAGTACTAACTATCTAAAAATTTAAAGACTTAAGATTTTAATGCTTTTACATTCCTTGGAAGTCATGTAATACTGAAAAGAATGTAAAATTACAGAATTTAAGTTTTAGTTTTCCATTCCTTGGACGATCATTGTAATAAAAAAAAATCAAAGATGTCACAGTAAAAGATGGAGCTTTTCTACTTAACTCTATGATCAACAAAAACTATGCTTCTTAACTTCCACTAAAATTTAGGTTAAAAAGTACATCTTAAACGAGATCTAAAGGCGTTGATCTCTTTGAGAAGTGATTCCATGGACTAAGAGAAGAGCAAAATATACTTAAGTTGTATTTAAAAATCTATCTAAACTAAAAAAATCCCACAAAACATTCTTAAGTTGTCTTTAAAAATATATCTAAACTAAAAAAATCCCACGAAGCATTTCAATAAGTAGTTGGAGAAAACACTATGAACAGAGTCAGTTTACTTCAGAGAAACAAAGAATCCTCTCCTTCCAAAGAAATACAGATGTCATTCCTCTAAGAAACCACAGGGGGTCATCATCACACCATGAATAACTGCTGCACTGTCAGTTAAAAACCCTTTAACACTCAAGGCGAAATTAAATTTTTTGAAGAAGGTTCCAGTCAAAACTTTCTCACTAGATTGATCAAATCCCATACCTTGGGCACTATTAGGAATTGTTCCGAAACTATCAGATTATTTTTATAGTTTCAAAATAACCTCTCACAGTCATTTCCCAAATGAATGTACACATTAAGCCAGCTATTTGCCTTTTCCTATTTCCAAAGAATTATACGTGCAACATATTAAAGATAATCATCCGTCTGTTCTAAGCATGTGAAAATATTCTAGCTTAATTTCTATATTATAAATATCTAGAAAGAAAAATGGGTTCAAAACATCTTTGGAGTAGTTCTCAAGAGAATTATAATGCAATTTAAAATTTTAAAAGAGCCAATACAATGAATTGACTCCAACAATACTAAAAATATAAAATCTATGTTGACACATTGAGTTAGTTCATTGTGTTTGTACCCTTAAAAAAAACTTGTAAACCTAAACAGAAGAACTAAATTCTGACCCCCAATTATTTAATGCCTTAGATTTCAAAAGTGTATGTTAAAAGGAATGTAAGAAAATCCATGACCTAATGCAACTTCTTTTAATCATTTCTAAACAACAGCATTTTGGAAGGGGATTTGAACTCAAAGCATTAGACACATGAATGTCATGGCAAAATCTTAGGATTTTAGCCTTATATTTGCTCTCTAAATTATCATGAATATACAGATTTAACCGCTAACTTTTAAAAATTATTTCATTTTTAAACTGGAAAAATATTTTCAAGAACTTCCCCAATTGCTGTTTGAGGATATAATTAAAAATTGTGTAAGAAACATAAATTTTAGTAGATGATCTAAGATGTTAAATTACACATTTTCTTTTGTCTTTACTGTGACAGAGCAATGCAATTTCAAGCCTAGTTCATCTGCAATGCCTACGACACCGATGCAAAGAACACAAGGAATCTTTGGGGGAAAGTGCTTAAAAGCATCTATAGGCAAAGGACAAAATTTATAACCCCATAAGCCTGCTTAATGTCCCTTTGATGGGCAAAGGCTTTTTGTCATTGAAGAAAAAAAAAACCACCCCCAGTAATGCAGTCCTGAAGCAGGGGCCCTGGCTGCAGACATCTGCCATCCATGATTCAGGGGTACGAAAGCTGACAGAAATCTAACACAGAAGTCCTCATGCTGAGTGGGGTGTGTTTTGTACACTTCTCTTCCAAAAGTGGAAACACTGCTTCTTTTCCTTTGGCAAAAATAATGACAGTAGACCCAGTTAGCTTGCGTCATACCATAGCAATCTCAAACTCCTATCTCAAAGTGACTGTGAGGCTTCCACAAGAATATTTCAACTACTCGGTATAAGCTAGAAAATTCCCTTTAATTATCCTGCTAAGAAACTGCAAAACAAGGAGGTTACTCAATTATCCAAACACCAAAGCTAGGTTAACTGATTTTAAAGTCATTAGTAATAAATATAAAATAATAAACATTCATTGTCTGCTTACTAAATATGTGTGAGCATATATATGTCTATGTATAGATGCAGAAAAAAGTCTGGAATACTATATATCAAATGTTAATGGTTTCAGTATTTTTAAGCTATTTTAATTTTCTCTTTTATATTCAACAAATTTTCCACAATAAACATAAGTTAACTAATAAAAGGAGAGATTTTTAAAGTATTTGAAGCGTCACAAATCTTTCCTAGATTGGTACTAAAAAGAGATAGCATTGTTATATTGGGATTTGGAGCCAAATCTTTAGAAAGACCAGAAAGCTGAAGACCTGCTTAAAATATGTATTTCCCATGGCAACACTTAAATAGAATTCTTTCAAAACCACTAAATTCCAGAACTAAGGAAAGACTTTATAGTCATTCATTAATTTTAATACTTAAACTATAAAAATATGAATATTTATAACCTTTATGTATTCTTTTAATTTATCATTCTCTGCTTCCTTTTTATGAATTTGGAACTGTAGTCGTTCATGTACTACTTTCACTGATTGTGAAAAACGGTTTGCTTTCAAAGCATTTGCCTATAACAGAAAAAAAATGTGTTAGTTGATGTATTTCTACACAATATTAAACTTTATGTATTTAGACATGATCCAAAAAGTTGATAAAGAGTGAAATACTACTTTACATGAACCACAATACTCCCCACATTGCAAATGGATTTTATATAAAACCAGGATGCTGTCTCCTCCTCCCCCCTTTTTAGTTAATAACTCCTAATTCTCTCTTTTAAAAAGATCCTACCTGTCTTCCTAGGTAAAACTATGGGTATGTCTGAAATGCTCCAACAAACACTGAAATTCCTTCATTTATACTAAAATTGAAACACAAATTTACACATAGGTCCCTGACTGATGCAAAGTACCCTGACTGGAAACAGCATAAAAATCTTTAAAGGAAAAACAACTTTAAAAAAATAAGATGTTATATTTGATACATAAAACTTGTAAGAATATCCAAATAATCTAAAAAACTCTCTGTGTATTTCTGAAGAAATGGGGGCCAGGATGGAAAGAAGAGAAAGAGGGAGTCAATATCAAGAAAATATGATGAATTAAGCTTCAAATATGCTTACCTTTTCATTCTGAAACAGACAAGAAAGTTCTTGGATACAGGTCTCCTTTTCAAGTAGCTTCTTTTTAAGATTCTTCAGCAAATGTAACATAAGAGTTAGAAATATCACAACTTGGATAATGTTGGTTAATTTTATAAAACCAACCGCCATATAAGCAAAAAATATCAGAAGAACAGACACCAAGTATAGATAGACTTACAGCGATTTCACTTTCATTATCAGTCAGCTTCTCTAACATGCTGGATAAACTGCCCTCCACCTGTGGAAAAAAGATGTTATAAATCAGTGTTCACAAACCGTATTTCTCTACATAAAAAAGCAGAAAGAGGAATAAACATCACTTAAGAAACTAATATGGACAACTACTATGCACAGTTTGGTTTTTTTTTTTAAAGTTAAAACCATCAGAAGGATTTTTTGCTTAAGTGTTCCAAATCAATTTTTGTCCACAATTTCTAAATAATACTTCTAAAAGTACAAGTCAATGACACAAAAATCACAAAAATCTTATACACAAAGGAAGCTCACAGTGCTGTTCGTAAATAGGTAAAAATTATAAACAACCTAAAGTCTAGGAAAAAGAAATTTCTTAAAGAATTACAGCAAATCAGTAACAGAATTCTATGTAAATATTTTAAATGAGAACATAGAAAAATGTTTATTCATTTTGAGGGTCATACATATTACATGATTCCATTTATGTGAAATATCCAAAATCAGCAAATCCATAGAGACAGAAAAAGTAGACAATGGGCTAAAGAGGGGTGTGGGGACAGGACTCGGACTTCTAAAGGGCCAAGGGTTTCTTTTCGTAGTGATGAAAATGCTCTAAAGTTGACAATGGCGATGGCTACACAGCTCGGTGAATACACTAAATATCACTGAATTGTGTACTTCAAACAGGTGAACTATTTGGTATGTGAATTATATCTCAATCAAACTGTTAAAGAACTGATGAGTGAATGTATAAGTGTAATGCACACAAAAGCTTAAATTCTAGAAGTATTTTATTATAATCAACTAAAATGAATTATAATAAATAAAAATATATTTTCTATAAAAACATCCTGCTTTCATGTAAAACAATGAAACATTGAAAGTAGAGGTTAATGATTGCCATTTCAAATAAAAATTCAAGAATTATTTCCATTTCAAATATTCCAGTATTTTAATTTCCACAATTTAAGAAATAATATACCCTTCAAGTGAGAAATATCACTATTAAAATAGTGCTGAGTTATTTCTTACTTGTTGGTATTCTTTCTTTCTAAGATGATGTTCTAAAGCTTGTCTTACACATTTTAAAGTGTCTAATTCTTTTGTTAATATTTCCTTCTGTTTAGCAATCTTCAAATTATATGCACAAAGATTAGCCTGACAAAATATAAGAAACACAAACACATTTTAAGACATGGCATTAAGACATTCTAAAATATAATGCCACTATTATCAAAGAATACTTTTTCCTAGTAATAAAACCATTCTTTTGCACATAGTAAGAAAAATTTGCCAAGTTTATTCACAGTAACTAGTACGTGTTACACGGTGCACTAAAGTAAAATGAAATCAAAATAAGGGTTTAAACCCTAAAGTAGCTCAGGCATTTTAATAAAACTAATAGAATACAATCTAATTTTTGCCCCCAACACTGAAATTTTAGAACAGCGGTCTCTGTTCTGCATAACACTGTAGAAAACAGATATATTTCATCCCTCAAAATATTTTAGTTTTAAATTCACTCTTGAGAAAAGCTGACTCTTGTTTTACTCCAGGTAAGTCAAGAACTAAAGTATACAGTTTCCAGCTCAGCTTCTTACCAAGTACATGCCTGAGATTACCTCTGAGGAAAAGAACTGCAGTTAATGACATAGGAATAAGGAACACTGATAAATCTGCATTTTTGTACATCAAATAGCAATACGTGAGCATAACTGCTGTACGATAACCTCATTCTGAGCGTTATCCTAGCTTCTCGTTTTATTAGCCGTTCACGAGTCAAGTACTCACATTTTCAAAACTTATCTCTTCAATGGTTTCCTTAAACAATGGCAAAAGTAATTCCACAGAGCAAGTTGCTATCTCAGCTTCCTTAAATGTGGCTTCCAATTCAGTCTTTTCATTTAGGATGTCCTGCTTTAGGCTAATAAGATATGCACAAATAAAATTTAAGTTAAAGCTGTTACATAAACTAGTTATACTTTTCATGCAAATTGAGCACAGCCTGATTAAATATTATAGTTTCATAAATTGCTCTCCAGAAAGTAACAGTAAATTGCCACTGAAAATGTATGAATTTTTTCCTACAGTTCCATACTTTTCTACACTTAACTATACAGTTTTCAAAATGCTAAGATATGTGAAACACAAAGAGCACCAACAGCAATGTATTACTGTGTTATTTGCCAATTATTCAATATCCCTTTTGTAAAACGACTTGTGTGAATGTCTTTTTTAAATTCCCTTCTCCCTTACTCCAAACCCAAAAGATTTGCCTTTTTAGAACTTACTCCCAAGCCCTTTCTTGAAACTCACTGTTCTTTATAAAAAAATTCCTCCAGAAGAATGTGTAAGCTGAAGAAACTGAACACAAAAAAGTAAACCTCTCCAGATATCTAAAACTCTTGATACATCTCTCAGAGTAAGACTGATATGATTTGCCTTCTTGACTGCGTTTTACCTAGACATGCTGTGTACCACTGTAAGGTACATTTTTGGGGGGTTCACATTTTTACATCCTGAAATCGGGATGTTTCGTCTTGTGCTGTCTTTCCTGTACGTCCCCAAAACTTACAGAATGAGTGTCCAAAGTTTTGAAGAATAACCCAGAGATGGGGTGCAGCATTTTTTACCCTTCAGCAACAAAGGGCCATAGAGAGGGATGAGGGAGTTGGTGAAACAGTAACGTTTAGCGACATTCTAGAAGCAAGACTCCAATGTACACAGCCATACACTGTAAGGAAGAGCCTATGACCAACCAACTTTCTTTCAGTTACAGATGCTCCTAAGAAATGCCAGTATCACGAATCTTCTTAACAGCAAGGCCAGCTCTCAGTCACAAAGTGACTCAGAAGAGTTGGACTTTGAGTATAAAGAAGTTTTGAGAATACCTTAACAAACTTATTTCATTTACATCTTATTTTTATATGAGCAAAAAGTTATTTGGACTAAAAATCTATGTATAATTAAGTTTGAAGGAGCTTCTCCAATGTTTACAAATAAAATTCCAAGTGATGAGAAAGCATCGTGTCCTTCTTTAACTGACACTTTTTCTTTTAGGGAACATAATATAATGGCTCAGTACCAACTGATGGCATCTTAGAGGCTATGTCAAAAAGTAGATTGTATTTTTAAGCACCAATGGCTTAAAATGATGGGCCTAAGACGATACTGGCTACAAATGACAACTGTCATTAAAAACCACGGACAGAAAGTCAAGAATGATTGTAGATGACCAAATACCATTTCCATTTATAACCAGCTAAACTAGAAGTGGACTATACTATCCATAGCAACAAAAATGGCATTTTAAGACTGTCATTTTGGGGAGTAATGACTTATACAAATAATAAGCACATTCCCCATTCTAAAGAAGCAAAACATGACCAGTATTTGCTAGAGAGCAATATACCAAATGGCAGTGAATTAGTGGTCACTAATTGTATTTCCAATATTCCACAGTAGTTATATTTTCATTAACATTACTTAAAAAGCTATATACTTTATAAAATCTTAATAGATAAGGTTTTCATTTTTGATTGCTTTTGTTAAAATTCCAAATTAACTAGCCAAATTCTGCTAAATGAGTACATTTGTAATCAGATTAACTAAATATGAATTACTAAACTGGAAGAAAACAGTCTTGAAAGAATGCTGCATTTGAGTCAAATAATTTACAATATGGACAAAACATGAAACCCTGAAATCAAAAGATTAAGATATCCCCTGCTGTTGTTGAGAATACCAGCTGAGTTGATTTTCACTGGCATGCTGTGGTAAATGTTCTTTCTCTGGTCTACGTTTAAAATGGGAAACCAGTTCTTCTGAATGACTTCCATCATTTGCAGGCTCCTCCATAAATTCGGTGAATGGATTTATAGGTGGCTTCCACAACTTCTCCACACAAGCTGAAAGCTAGGAAATATTTTAATTATTGCAGTTACTAAAGAATCATTTCAGTAGATTCTTTTTTTTGTCATTACCCTACGATATGTGATCAAAATCCTAAAGATGTGTAAAAGAATACTATTTCACACACAAAACTGAAATTATAACTGCTACTCATTGGGGTACTAATTCCAAACAGTATCAAAATTGCATAGCACAACCACTCAACAATTGCCAACCTCCATACACAATTTCCAAAAAGCCTGCCATTTTCTACACACACACAAGAATGCAGAAATAATTACTCGTCTATTTCTTGAAGTATCACAATAATATCTTAATCCAATCAGGTTAGAAAAGGAATATAAAAACCACAGGACAACTATGATTCCCAATTTCATTAGATCCATCCAGCAGGAGATGGATGTTATTCCTACCTAGAACAGGAGAAATTTAAAATACTTTCGAAAGTATCTGGCAACAATAGCTACAAAGAAGGTAAGTTATTCTTTTGAAAGTAGACCTTTCAAAGTTAAATTCATTTATTCCTATAAATAAACCCTATTAAAAAAGCTCAATCTAGGATATTTTTGGTGATAATGGATAAATGACATTACTTCTAAGTTTTACTAAATTACCTAGTTGTTTTCTCTCAAATCTGGAAATGTCATTTTTAAAATGTGGATATTTATGAATTTCTTCAAAAGGATTCCATCTTAAGTAATGAGTCAGAGCTTCAACAATCATTAAGGCTGTTTTCACAACTCTAATATATGGTAATATGTCTCCCTGAATTCATTTTGTTATACAAAGTCAAATGTTATATTTAAGGTTTTCTGCATTTTTTTCAGAGATATTTTACCTCTCTGTAATTTATATTTATATACGTGTATCATAAAATACGTATGTTCAAGAATTTTCAATACTTTAGGTAGATACGAAAGTAAAGGTTGAAAATTGTTTACAATATTTAATTAGCAATTCAGAAACCTTTCAAAATGTCTATAAAAAAAGTATGTGTTTTTGTCTGAAGGGTTTATATACCAGAAAGATAAATATTTAGGATATAGGCCAATGAAAAGCATGCTCATATTTTTTAAATACTAGCAAGTCATATCAAGATGGAATTGCTGAGTAAGATACAGATAGTCTAAGATGATCTACCTGAATTCTGAAAACATGCAACATCTGTTAATAGGGCATAACAAATTCTGAGCTCTCTGTAGTCTAGAAGAATTAAAAATATATAGATACACACAATCAAATGAAAAACCAAACCTAAAGGTGAAGAAGAATATACTCAGGTAAGTCACTGCAATCAAGAGAATTATCATCTACAATTTGGGTATTTATCTTCCATCCATTCACTTGTTTAAATATTTATCTCTGTACACTGGAAGCTCAAAAAAGAATACCTTATTTATTTGAATCCTCAGCACGTGTAAGTCTTGTAAAAGCTAAGCAGTAATTGAAGGAGAGGACTCATGGCTCATGATGTAACGAATATGACGAATAAAGACTTGCTTTTTACTCATTCACCCCTTGAATCATCTTTTTGGGGATCATTAAAAGAAAAATAGTTCCTATATTTAAAACAAAAATTTAAAAATCAGTGTAAGAGGATACGGATCTTCTATTTACAGAAAACATTTTATGAGATAAGATTTGGTATCAGTATTTCAAATGAGTTCTTGCTTGACTTTGTGGGCTACTGAAAGCTTTCTGTAAGTTTTACCACATGATAAAATCATACAGCATTTTTCTACTTCATCATCTCTAAAAAAGTAACTGTGTCATATCTTAAAGATAAAGAAATAAAATTAACATAGTGTAAAAAAATAGAGATTTTAGAATGACTTTTAGCCCAACATTCTAAAATGTTATCTTCATTACTGATTTCTCAAAACACAAAACAGAAAAGTGTTATGTCTCAAATATTTCCATAGAAATTATCAACAATCATATTCTTATGATCTAGAGATAAATATAGAATAGAAATTGTTTGGAGGTTCCAAGATACTCCACTAATTTTGTGTTGTGACAATACTATAACCAAAAATATATGTGTGAACAACAATGTAATTTAATTTTCTTTAGTATAAAAAGTCCTGCCTTTATTAAAAAATGCCATCATTTTGTTGGACCAAATGGATTCTTGTCTGGAAAAGCAGATGTTTTACAAGAAAATGTTTTCAATTATGTAGAATAAACTGCCAATTTACAAATGTATTATACTCTTGTATAACTTGTTACTGGTAAAACAGAGAGACATATTCTGCACACATATTTAATGATCAAATTTCTAGAGAACAGTAATTTAAAACAGTTTTAATCTCTAAGGAATTAAATTTCCTATATAAGGATGACTTTACCAGTTCCTTACTCAAAATGCATATACTTAAAGCTTTTTCCAGGCATGTTCATGAGTTTATGCTGATCCAGCAACACTCACTAAACTATGTTCCATTTTGGCCAACAAGAAGCATTTGAGGGATGGCTGTTCTGGGACTGTGATACTGGCCATGGTCAGAGAAATGAAAGATTACAGTCCATAACCTTCCTTAACACCAAGATTGTTCTAAATATACTAACCACCTGCAAATATGTGTTCAAAACTAATCTCTCTGAAAAGCATTTGAATTTTCCAGATTTCAATTTGTTTTGCCAAACACTAGTTCTTGGAAAACTAGTTCCCACTGGCTTCCAACAAAAAGCACACAGCTTCTATTGAAAAACTCACTATGAAATATTCAGCAAAGAGCATCAAGTAGATATAGGAATGCTGTTTGTTTCCTTCACTATTCTACATACTAGTCAAAAGTTTACTAGAGAAGTAATTTATGACTTTTTGGACCCCATAATGAAAAAAAAAAAGGTATAGGAAATTTGGAAGTAGGAAGAGAGTAAAAATAACCAGAGGTGGAAAATAGATCTTATGAGTAAAAGCTACCAAAACTGGAAAAAAAACATTTTCGGACATAGAGACGTTAAGTTAGATAAGTAATTAGCTAATGCTTCTGTTCAATGAATAAAGAAATTTAAATATAAAAGGGTTCCAGAAAGAAATTTAAATATAAAAGGGTTGCAGAATGGGGAGAATGGGGAAAAAGTGGACTGCAAGAGTGACTGATTTATAAATGCAGGTTACATACATACTTTCAAGGCCCAAATCCCCCCTCCTTCTCAAAATGTTCCTCTCACTGATTCAGCCCACCAAGAATCCTCAACATCTAGTAATATTTCAGAATCATACAGTTTAGAATTTAATTGCTCCATAAATGCTCATATTTTAGTTCTCCTTTAACCTTTCTACTAAACCTGTAAGGATAAATATACCCATCAACCTCCATCCTTAAAAATTACCTAACACAGTGAGAGGCATAGGTTAGGTTTTAATATATAAGTTAGGGTGACCAAATAATTTATTGTTCAAAGCGAAACACTTTTGAGATGAAGGGAGCCCCACATAGAGAGCCCAATTATCTGGGAAAAAACTGGACCAAAGATGTTCGGAATACTGTCTAACTCTAAATAGCCAGCACCCTTTATCAGACGAACAGAAAACATTTTCCCTCCCTTCAACATGAAGACATGCTGCCATTTATTAACAGAGCACTGACTGACCTCATGAAGATCATCTCACATAAAGCCTACAAGGTTGCAATTAACATCCAAAAGTTACAATGAGGAAACCAAGTTTCAGAAAGGTTAAATAGCTTGCCCAAGATCACAAGTAAGGAAGTGGTGAATCTCAGTTTTAAACCAAAAGCCATCAGATACTAAAATATAAGCATCTACACAGCTGAACGTAACATACAAACTTGCCTTAATTTTGTCAGGTTTTAACAACACTTAAAAATTCAGTATATAATAAAAAAAGAAAAAGAAAAAGAAAAAGAAAACTCCGTAAAAGGAAATGAAGGATTGAGCTCTTTGAAGGCACAGACTACAAGTCCTAAGAGAGCGCAGACACTGAGCAGACCACTCAAAGGCAGCGTGGTAAAGGCTGTGATAGGGGCCTGGCAGGGCACCATGACAGCGTACGGGAGGAGACCTAATAACCACTGACAGGATCCTGGGAGACTTCCCAGAGGAGGAGGATCCTCAGAAGAGTCCAGCAGAACAAGCTTGAGCTTGGCAAGAGGGAACAGAAAAAGGTATTCCAGGTAGAGGATAAAGGACCAGGAAGAGTGAGGAATTGTGACAGATCACGACTTGAAAGGGCACAAGGCAAAAGATGAGACAGGACACACTGAAAGCAGTCACTGTATGCCAAGCTCAAGAGCTTGAATTTTTTTCTAAAGGTTAAGACAGACCATTAAATAAGCTTAAGCAGGGGAATGACAGACAGAAGTGCATCTATAAAAGATAAATCCAGTGGTATTTTGGGACATGGACTAGACATATGGAGGGGAAGGTCTCATGAGAGATGAAATTCCAACATTCTTTTCCAATAAAAAATTTCTGAAGAAATCAAAAGTTGTTCCCATTGGTGATAAAAGCCTGAAAAACAATGGAGGAAGCAGAATGCAGGAATAGCAAGAGATCAGCACAGAAAGAAGTGATCACCTATAACCCCTCATTTACCTGTGACCATGTGAATGGATTGCTCCACACATAAATCCCAGAAAATGGTACCTTATCCCTTTAAGTACCAAAATTAACTTAGACCAGTTTGAAGAAAATCTTCTTAAAGTATGTATTTCTTCCTTCCTAGAGTACAGAGGACTGAACATAATTTAATCTTTCCTTGATGTCCAGAGGTGGCACATGAAAATGAAAAACACTGGGCCACAGTCATCAGTTCTCAGTCTTTACAAACCACCTGACAGAAAAACCTTAGCTTCACTGGGCCTTGGTTTTCTCTTCTACAAAATGAGAACTTTTGCCAGTCAAAGCTGTGCTGAGGTTTGAACAGACTGAAGCAGACCACTTTAGGTGGGGTCTGCTTGTTTGTTCATTTAATTTAGGGTTCCTTTGGTCACTCGGTTGGGGCTGCTTTCCCACCAGGTCTTCTCTTTTTTTCACCTTAAAAAAAAATCATTCCAAGTCAACCACCATTCCTGAAATTACCTGCAGGCCTGAGATGTCCGTATAGAAACAACTCTTATCTTCAAAACAATCCCTTCAAAATCCATTCTTGCAGAATTATTACAAATCATCTTCAATGCAGCAAAAACACTAAGTTCCACTAAACCAGAGCCCAGGGGAACAATTATTAACTTTCAGCAGAACTATGCCCAAGGGGATAGTTGCTATGTCAACCTCATTGCTATACCAGTTCCTCAGGTCTCACTCATTTGTACAAACTAAGAAGTGATTAGTAGCAATATAAACAAAGTCATTTTCTCATACCTTTGGGTGTCTGAGATGCAAAAACTATACTAATACATATCAGCTGTGAAATCAGAAAAAAAGAGAAGCAAGAAGTGGATACCTGGCAGTTAAAGAATTGCAAACATACCGCGACAATCTTATTGTAAGCAGAAGGGTATTAAACTGATTTTAAAACCAAACAGGCTTCCTACAGTCTTATTATTTTAACCACAACTAACCAGGTGGTGCTTAAAACTACTCCAAAAACCCCATTCATTCAAAAACACCTGAAACCTTACCACGTGAGGAAACAGGGGAACTTTTTCTCTGCAGCAGACTATCCCCAACATCTGGCCGAAGTCTGACTATGGTTTTCTCACTAAGCAAGCAACACGTACTGACCACCTACTCAAAATCTGGCACTGGTTTAGTTAATCTCTTTCATCACAACCACTCTAAACTGACTATCACCAACCTCATTTCACAGATAAGGAAACTGAAGCCCGTTAGGGACCTACCCAAGGCCACACACTTGGAGGAGTTTCCATAGAGGCTGGAATCTAGAACCCTGGAGAAGGAGTTATTTCCTGACGCTTCCTGGAGCATTCTTCACTTAGAGAGCCCCGGAGTCTACCAGAGTCCGGCATATTACATGGTGTGCACCTGAAGCCAGTCGAATACGTAAGGGAGCACTATTTCGAAAAGAAACGCTGCCATGCCTGGGGCCGGCCCGGTCCGTTTCGTTCTGGACCAGCCCCCTCGGCTACGATGCCCTGAAGTCCCAGGGACCACACCCTCAGGGAGAGTACGCGCCCGGCTGCCTTGCCCAAGCCCATGCTGTCTGTCTGGGGTAAGGAGAGGATGTAGGTAGAATGGAGCTGAGGCATAGCTCGGGGCGGACGTGAGGGCCTCTCACTTCCGCGAACCCCACGGCCCCGGCCCCGCCCCCAGCCCCCGGGCGGTCACGCAAACCTAAGCTTCCCCTTCCGAAGGCGCGCGCACGCCCCACCGCTGCGTCGACACGTCGCCGTGACGCCAGCCCGCCGCCGCTCCGCTGTGGAGGGGTCCGCAGGGGCCGCCAAGTCTGACGCTCGGAGAACGTTAGTGCAAGCCCGGCAAGCGTACCTGGGCTCTCCAGCCCTGGGTCGGCCAGGAGGGAGCGGGACGCGGGGAACAGGGCTGTGGGTGAAAGCTAGGGAGGAGGGCGAATTCCTCGGGCTGCTCGCGGTGGAGGAGTGCCCCAGAAGGTGCAAGCCGGGCAAAAGCGGAGTTAGTAACCAGCAAGTGGCTTCTCTGGCAACGGCCGCCCCGCCCCTTCCGTCGGGCCTGCAGGCGGCACAGCCAATTGGCGGAGCTCAGGAAAGCGAGCGCCGGCGTCTGCTGCTATTGGCGAGACTGAGGGGGCGGGTCCCGGGGAGGCACTGTGACTGGGTCACTTCTCCGGGTAAGCTCCGCCCCCCACCCTTTTGTTTTGTGTAAAGGGAAGCACTTAGACGTGGCTACCAAAAATCTTAATTGAGTTCAACTAGACAGGGAAATAAGGCTGATGGATTCCGAATTTTCTGACACTTGGCTTGGAAGTGCCCTGCTTTTACTTTTTAAAGTGTTGATGTGAAAAAACCAAGGCAACTGGAAGAAAGCTCTTCCAGTTTTAAATTCATGATATTGCTGTTTAGCTGAGATCCCTCCTTGGGCCTGTGTTTTCTCTTGTTAAATGAGGGAGCCGGACGGTGATCTCCAAGGCACCTTTCAGGTCTCAAATTCTTTGTATCTGTGCGACAGACAAATGGTATCCTTTATGAGGTGAACAAGGGCAGATTCTATTTGGAAAAGTTAAATTATCCAGTGCTTCAATCTAATGTTTAACATTGTAGACTATCACATTAAGTTTACGAATAGGGCAATTATCAACTAACTAATCTAACTATGGCATTCCTCATTACTGATTTCATTAAAGAATATTTCCCATTAACGAGTTCAGCAATGCTCTCCACCCCCGACCCCCATCCCCCATACTGTGATTCTCTAGTAAAAAGTTAAAGAGACTTAATAGCTCATAACACATTACCTTCCATATGTGCAAATATTAAAAAGAACAGGGAACTAGGGGCTTACGTACCTGCTTTCTCACAGATGAATCATGACCTTTGGCAAGTCAATAAATTCTCTGGGCTAGTTTCATCTGCAAAAAAAAGAAAGAAAGGAAAAAAAAAAAAAAAGGAAGACAGGTGGAGTTGAAAGCAAGGAACATAATTCTGGAGATATTTCCAGCACTAAGCTAGGATTCCAGCTAACCTTGTTAACTTACCATAATTAGAAAAATAATTGTACACAGAAGTTGAACTCCTGTTATGAAAAATACTGATTTTAATTAAATTGCATTATTAGAAGTAACAACCTTTATAAGACATTCAAAAGGTAACATTCACAAGAATCTCAAAATGATTACATAAGATTCTCAAACTGACTATTTTAATTGAGTTGTCCAGGTAAAGTAAATATAGCATCCCTCATCCTCTAAATCTAACCTGTTCCTGAAATCTGGTTGGATCATGAGCTTTTGGATAGAAAGATCCCTTATTCCATTTTTAAATAAATGGGAAAAAATAATTCATTTCAGCCATCCAAAAAACTTTAATTTCCCCAAACATCATTAAACACTTGGCCACCTATGAAACAATTCACCAAGAATTTCTGTGTAATTTAAAGTAGAG